ACATCACCGGATATGAAGACATCATGGGACGACACGGACTGGGAGAAAGAAACGAAAATGGTGAGAGATTTGCAAACCTATGTGCCTTCAATAAGCTGGTCATAGGCGGCACCATATTCCCACATAAACGCATACACAAAACCACATGGACTTCACCGGATCACTCTACACAAAACCAAATCGACCATATTTGCATCAACAAAACGTTCAGGAGGACTATAGAGGACGTGAGAACCAAGAGAGGAGCTGATATAGCATCAGATCATCACTTGTTGGTCGTCAAGATGAAATTGAAACTCAAGCAGTACTGGACAACGGAGCGGACAATATCACAAAAGTTCAATACGGCCTTTCTCCAGGATACTGACAAACTCAACGAATTCAAGATAGTCCTCAGCAATAAGTTCCAGGCCTTTCATGATCTACTCAATGGAGAAGGAACTACTATGGAGGGCAACTGGAAGGGGGTCAAAAAAGCAATCACTTCAACATGCCATGAGGTTCTGCGCCACAAGAAGCACCATCACAAGGAATAGATCACTGTTGATACACTGGATAAGATTCAAGAAAGGAGGAACAAGAAAGCAGCAATCAATACCAGCCGAACAAGAGCAGAAAAAGCCAAGGCACAAGCTGAATACACAGAAGTAAACAAGCAAGTGAAGAGGAGCATCAGAACTGACAAACTTAAATATGTGGAAGATTTAGCAACGACGGCAGAAAAAGCTGCAAGAGAAGGAAACATGAGACAACTGTATGACACGACAAATAACTCTCTGGAAATCAACGTAAACCGGAGCGACCAGTGAAAAACAAGGAAGGCAAGGTAATCACCAGCATTGAAGAACAACGAAACAGGTGGGTAGAACACTTCAAAGAACTCTTGAATCGACCAGCCCCACCGAACCCACCCCAATATCCAAGCAGCACCCACAGACCTCCCAATCAATGTTGGTCCACAAACAATTGAAGAAATCAGCATGGTCACCAGACAAATCAAGAGTGGCAAAGCAGCAGGACCGGACAACATTCCAGCAGAGGCACTGAAAGCAGACGTAGCGGCAACTGCAAGGATACTCCACATTCTCTTCAGCAAGATTTGGAATGAGGAACAAGTACTAACAGACTAGAAAGAATACCTGATCAAGACACCAAGGAAGGGCGTTCTCAGCAAGTGTGATAACTACAGAGTCATCACTCCTCTCTCAATACCAGGAAAAGTCTTCAACATAGTACTGTTAAGCAAAATGAAGGACTCCGTAGACACCCAAGTTCGTGACAAACAGGCTGGATTCCATAAGGACCAATCGTGTACAGACCCAATCGTAACTCTACGGATCATTGTGGAACAATCAATTGAATGGAATTCATCACTCTACATCAACTTCATTGACTACAAAAAAGCATTTGATAGCGTGGACAGAACAACACTATGGAAACTTCTTCGATACCACGGCGTGCCTCAGAAGATAGTCAATATCATACGGAATCCCTATGATGGATTAAACTGCAAAATTGTGCATGGAGGACAATTGACAGACTCGTTCGAGGTAAAGACCGGTGTCAGGCAAGGTTGCTTACTCTCACCCTTTCTCTTTCTCCTGGTGATCGACTGGATCATGAAGACGTCAACATCTGAAGGGAAACGCGGGATACAGTGGACATCTAGGATGCAGCTGGACGACCTAGACTTCGCAGATGATCTGGCCCTCCTATCGCAATCGCAACAACAAATGCAGGAGAAAACGACCAGTGTAGCAGCAGCCTCAGTAGCAGTAGATCTCAATATACACAAAGGGAAAAGCAAGATTCTCCGATACAACACAGCATGCACCAATCCAGTCACAATTGACGGAGAAGATTTGGAAGATGTAAAAACTATCAACAAAAACCTGCTATGGGAGAGAATAAACCGGATCCCAGCGGAGGAAGAAATTAGGAAGAAGCGCTGGAAGTGGATAGGACACGCATTGAGGAAAGCACCCAACTGCGTCACAAGACAAGCCCTCACATGGAATCCTCAAGGCCAAAGGAAAAGAGGAAGACCAGAGAACACGTTACGCTGGGAAATGGAGATAGACATGAGAAAAATGAACAAGAATTGGATGGAATTAGAAAAGAAGGCCCAAGACAGAGTGGGTTGGAGAATGCTGGTCGGCAGCCTATGCTCCATTAGGAGTAACAGGCGTAAGTAAGTAACAATGAAGCACCAAATACATATGCGCCCAACTTCGTCATTCGATATGTATGAGGGCCAGAATACTGCTGGGACGCCCAAACCGAAGCAGGTGTCTTTCCTAGGAGGCCACTCCCCGAATTTTTGACCTAGAGATTTAGTCCAAAAAGCAGAGAAGCAACGTTAGGAGATACACTCTCTTGGTAGAGTGACCAACAATAGGTTCATACACCATTTGTCCCCTCGAGATCCTGGAGCCCATGTGCACCATCGGTTTGGAATTGGGGTATTCCAACTCCCGTAAGTGGATCCTTCATATCCACTAACCCGGATACAGCGCCATGCGTTCATTTTCGTTCTCTCAATTTCATAAACAACACCCACTGCGAGAAGGCAGTGAGTAGGACTCCCTTGTCAGTCGCTATATACGCGTGATGATATGAGAGCACTTCGAGAAGAGCTGACTGTCTTACGCCCTTTGCCGTACCAGGGCATTTGGGTGATCAAACGGAGACCAAGACAAAACACTAAAAGCTGAAATTCGAAATAAATAGCTCTCGAATCCGGTAAACCTTTAAGTCAACTGGTTTCATGTGTAAAACCTCAACTACTGTTAGCTATCGTTGGGGTTAATTTGGGGAGGTGAAGTAATCAGTCTACGATGTCTTTTTTACTCAATTAGGTTACAGATATGGTCTTTAGCCTGAAGAATCTCTTGCCAACGCAGATAGCGGTGACTAACAACGTAGGACATGGGACGAGTTTGGAATGTCACAAGTTGCCACGCTTCACATCAGCAGACCTAAAGGAAGTGAACTGGATCAAAAGTACATAACCAGATGGTATAGTTCTCTTTCGTGAAGATGAGGACTAAATTTAACTATTTGAATAACAGCAGAACTGCTTGGGATATTTTACGTCTTTCAAATGCAAAACGGTGCTTTGTAATTGACCTGTGCTAATGCTTAAGCTGACTATAGGAAACATTGCTAAGCACGTCGACTGCTTTATATGTCTTGAGAGTTTCCTTATACATACACCTTTAGTCGCAGCGGGGATGTCATTCCTATCACAAAACCCAGGAACTTGGTTTATATGATCTTTGAGAGTACAAAGCATGCATAAGTTACATGCAATTGATTATAGGTGTCTGAAGCAATGTTCGGGCATGCTAGGGTCACTAGGAGCGATTCTGACATTAGATGTATGATACCAGGTAGATTGTAGTGATCGGACTCAAGCATCAAAAAAAGACAAGGTTAAATTTTTAATTGTTAGAAGTCACGAAATTTTGTATCAGCCAATTAACAAGACGAAAAGAGAGGTTTATACAACATCGTCAATAAAAAAACAGGTTTAGGTACTAATCAAAGACGGATCATGACTAGCAGCTTATTCCAGGACGTGTGTTTCATCCCATTCGGAACTCCTCAGCTGGATGTACCTGCATCTATGAGTTGATGTCCACTCTTGGACTCGAACCCAGTACCGTTCGCCTCAAACGCCATCGCGTTATCTAGCTGACGAGTCCCAAACAGGACAAATCGCGCATCCTGAGTCCCACTGCTAGCCATTATCCATCTTTGCTTAGAATGCTTGTGAATTAAGGCAATACGAACAGTATGCACATATGCCAATAAGTGACTGATCAATTGCAGTCCTGAACATCAATGGGGAGATCCAAGTAAACAATACCAAATGAATTTAGGCTTCAATACATTTTAAAAGAAAATATTTCCGACTTGGTATGAAAAGAATGGAACAATACAAAGCTGGATATTTCGAGGTTAAAATCAATACATCAGCGTTTCAGAGGTCGTTGAATCATATCATCTAAGATATGCGACTATTGGCTACAATTAACTCGTGGGTCTTAAACCATCGTCTCTTCTAATTAAGAGATGACGCGAAACAGTTAACGTCTCGGCTTAAGAGTGTAATATCTTGGTTTGGTTGTTTTAAATCTATTGGCAAGATAGTCGCTTGGACACACTATGCATGGGCACGGTTACAAAGCGACCAGACACTTTCAAGTATCATTTATTTATTTGAACACACAAACATGGGTAAAAATGGGCACCGAATACATATGTGCCACACAAGTCACTTGATTTGTGTATCGTGGAAATATCCCAACGCAGTTTCAAAAAAATAATTGGTTACTTGCCGCATAAGATTAATTGTTTGTTGCTTTTATAATTGATCTACTATCAGTTTTATTTCTCAGCTTAAAATATCCACAAGATATTGTCCCGTTTAGTGGAAATACTAACAAAATGAAGTCGCCTGATCGCCCTGAGCAATTGTAAAAGTATCTGAGATGGTTTACCCCAAACCGCGATCTTGTCCTAGGATCAGTCATTATCTAATCCGTCTAATAATGAGGGAATGAAGCAAATTAAACGAACAACCACTTCACTTGTCTCAGAATCCCGGTGAGATATATATCCAACGAAATCTTCGAATCGATTCTGGTCTTGTATTACTTTTGGAAAATTACGTTACTTATAGGGCCGACTGGATGTCCATTTGCTAACGAATTATATATATAATTACACGGCACTTATATTAAGATGACAAGAGAAAATTCACCGTGAATCGACTAGTGATAAACGTGGATATCTAGTTAGCGAACCATAATTTGATCCAAACAATGACTTTCGAGAAGTTACAAGTGTTATATACTCATTTCTCATATTATGTCTTATATAAAAACCACATAGATCTAACATTTCTAAAATATGAGAACTAATTCAGGATGTCTCTCGTTTGAAGTTGTACAAGAATTACTGTTATACAAAGGTCAAATTTTCGGATAACTCACCTGAACTAGGTCTAATAAGGTATGTTCCTTTGGGGTTCCCCACTAGCAAAAGTTTTCGGTCAGCTTCACGTCGACCTATGTCATACCAGGCATCCAAGCTAGTTGGAAGTCCATCATTCAGACAGACGTAGTTACTGGGTATGTACCCACTCATTCCAGTGTCGGAATGTCTTGCAAACCACCATGCATCAGACATACCAGATATAACAAACATTATATCTCCTTTCTGGAACGAGAGGTCATCTTGGTTGTGGCCCTGATATGAATAAAGGGCGCGGACCTGTACCAAAGGTCTCGCTTGGACCCCAATTCCCCCCGGAGACACAGTAGATATTGCTGACGTTATTGCATTATTCTGACCAGCTACACAAGTCATATGCATATCAGCCACAACATTCCTCGAGACGGCAAGAGAATTTTTAGGACCGAGGTTGTACAGTGTCACTTGGTTGACGTTCGTTGGAGCGATGTCGGCAGTAGTTCCATTATTCGTAACTTCAAGCGTTTGGTGACAAAGGTACTTTGCCGCATTGTTTGCGGTCGTTGGAGTCGAACCTAGGTAATAATGCGAACCCCCGTCGTTCTGACTTTGTTTCGTACTCCTTTGGAGACACAAACAAATTCCCATTATAAGAGGTAATTACTATTTTTTGTTTGGTGCTTTTAGAATGGCCATTAACTGTCACAAAAAGCATGCGGTAAATCTGAAAACGCACAAAGCGCCATGGTCATTGTAGCTGGCCTTGGATATAACATTGGCAGAAACATCAGAGTACTTATTTAAACAAGTTATCAAGATACGTCTACATGAAGAAGTTAGATACCTTATAACATAAAAGGTGGATTTGTTTACATTTTGAGAAAACAGACCTTCCTGTTTTCACAATCATGTGTTTTCAAAAAAATATTATCTGCTGCTGCAAAAGGCTATAGGGTATTATGGTCAATTCGTAGGTCTTTCCAGTATTTAGATGATGAAATGTTTGAATTACTATACCCGATTTATGTGCGACCACATTTAGAATACGGGATTCAAGCAGCGAGTCCTTGTTTCAAATATGAAGCAGATATGCTAGAAAGAGTCCAACGACGAGCTACTAAGATGGTACAAGGTCTAGCTGGCCTATCTTATGAAGACAGACTGAGACACCTTAACTTATTTCCGTTATCTTACCGTAGAGTACGGGGTGATCTAATATTGGCTTATCGTATACTGAACGATGACCTTGGTATTAACATGTCTTATCTTTTGCTTCCGTCTAGAACCGATCATTTGAGAGGACATTCGAAGAAAGTTCAAAAACCGAGGTCAAACCGTTTACGTCTGGAGTTCCGTTTCTCGCACCGAGTAGTGAATTACTGGAATTCCCTACCGGAACACGTAATATCAGCACCGTCTGTTAATATATTCAAAACGAGATTGGACCTCCACAGTATTACAAACTGCAAGGATTAATATAGGTCGACAGACCTCCTATCCTTATTACTGAAGACTGAAGACTGAAGACTGCTCATGTGTGTTGTTCTAACTTCCACTGTGGAGCTTCTCAATGTTTACTGAATTTATTATTGTTTATATCCAAACCCATATTTGACACTTTTACCTACAGTGAGGTTTGTAAACACTTTCCCTACATGTTTTATTACTTTGACTGTCATCAGCTTTGGTTTTGGAAACCCTCAGTTTTCTGTGATTACCTCAAAGTAACTGGCGGTTGACGTCTATATCATGTGCTGAACACTTCAGTTCATGAAATTGGTACCATTTGCACATATATGGCTTTTGACTGCTATTAAACGAGCCGTCTTGGATCAACGTCTCCATGTTGAATCTTCGTTGAAGCTTGTTATTTAGTTTGGCAAAATAAGAATGCAATGTGGCAGTCTTATGAATCGGAGTAGAAATTCTGTTAACTTATTCGTTATCTTTTAGACTCTTACATGACCATTCTTTGTGGCATTTATGTTGTTTGACCTGGTGATTAATTATTGTCAGTGGTTAGGTTTTGTGGTGAGTGACCAATACACTTGCTGTACAGTTAAATTTTTTATGTTGTGTTCAAATCTATCATTGTAATGCAATAAAATTTCATACTATGATTTCCTGATTGTGTCTTGTGGAAGTTTTGGCCCTTTTGAGATTACTTCTATTTCGTTATATTATTTCAAATTAGCAGGTTTGTTGGTGATATAAAGCTTATGACCAAACTACGTTGCCGAGTCGTACCGTTGAACGGGTTATACGTAGATTTTTACTATATCTACCTAGAAGTCGTCTCACTCGTAATATAATAATAATATATTTCTGCATGAGCAGACGCATGCCATTTTTACAGGCATGATCTACAAATTACAACATTTGTTGGCTCACAGCATGCTTCCCAAACTATTAAGTTTATAGTTGTTATAAAGTAAACTTGTAGAGCGCTTGCTGTAAACTATGACCTTGAGGAGACGCGTACATCAAGCTTGTTCCAAACGTCAGAAGTTCCATAGTTGTGCACTCAGAGCAAGATTCTGAAGAAAGAAAAAAGAGAAACAGAAGAGCAGCAAGGCACTTGGATATGAACGCAAAACGTTGCTTAACATTTCGTAGTAGAACAGACAGAGGTGTGATAAAACATGATGGGAAGTCAAGGTTGGTTCAAGGAAAGCTGTTTATTAGAAGGGGGTGTGCATATAGAGGGTGAAGTGTTAAGAATACTAATAACTATATTTTGTTGTCTAATTTTTTCTTTCTTTTTTTGTCCATCCCATGCCAGCCACACAATCCTAGTGTAAAAGTCGGAGTTAGCGTGTTATAGGTTGTCTTAGTAGAATAGCTAATCCAGCATAATATTGGAAACATGAGTCTGAGTAGTGAGCGTAAGAAAGCAATCCATATCCCAGATTGATCGACTTATTCTCATTCATAAAGAGTCTGATACGAACAAAATGTTCTGCCCCACAAACATGGGTGGATTGAAGTCATCGCCCTCACCATCAATGCTTGCTGGTCAGTAACTCCACCCTCCCTCCTTTTGTGATGTTAGGCTCATTCAGGCTTATTTTTGTATATATGTCATACCTCACCCAATCCTCTGTGTTTCACAACTTGTTCGAAAGCACTATTTTTATAAGTACCATTTTACAAGCTTATCAGGCAGTTACAAGCTATGGACTATGTGTAAGGCATCGATGCAGTGCTTCTGTTGACTATAGTATAAAGTATAGTTTGCCGATCAGAGTATAAACATTAAGAAGGGTATATAGTAGGATAGTTGTTTATCAAAGCAGGCGGAAAAGTATGGAAGTATATGGGTTGTAGATAAGGTAACGAGTAGAGAAATAATATTAATTGCTAGTCAAGAGTAAAAAGCTGATAAAGAATAGATAAGAAGGAACCCACATTAACTTGGTTCTTATCTTATTTTGTGCCATCCTAATCGGTTGATGGGTTACAGGCTCCATAGATGCAAGATCACTGATAGTAGGCAGTCAATTGTGCTGTCCTCTTGACTTTTTAGGGTGTTAGTGAATGTTCCATAGCGACCGAGTTTAGTTGAACAGTATCGATAGGTCCAGTGAGTTACCTGTCTACTTCAAGTGAAGAAATAGGGTGGAAAAGTAGCTAATATAACTGCAAAGCAGGAAAAATAAGACAAACTGAACTTGCGATCTATTTTAGTCTAGACATGGAAAGAGCCTATGATGTCTGAGTGGGGCGCAGACGTGTTCGTATGCGCAAGATCAGTGCAAGTGAGGGCTTAATCAAGCAGTTTTACAAACTTATGGAATTCATCTGCCATGCGTATTTCGGAGGGAAAACTGTTCCACATTATTGCATACTTGGTGAGGAAGAAGTTTTCCCGAGTTTTTGATCTGTATTTCTCAACTTTGATCACAGATACTTTGTTTCGAAGTCCTTATTCATGTGAGACCGACCGAAGCTGCCACCTTGACTCGGTGGTCGGGCTTGCCCACCGTGATGACCCAATCGGTTGGCTGGAACATATGTCCCTGTAGATTCTATCATGCCAGGCAGGTCGTTGGAGAACGGTAAGACTAAAAGCAGCAACTCAAGGTCTGAGGGCGAAGTCGTACTGCTGACTGTAGAGGGGTGTGACAGCAGTAAGGTGTTTCCTTCGGACAACCAACATCTGCAGCGATGCTGCCTTCCCACAAGGAGGGGTGGGGTTAGAAAAGGTCTACCCTAAAAATTTCACACCCTACCTTACCTCACGGATTTCCGTCTCCGGTGGTAAGGCCCTTTGAAGAACGGAGCTAACACATTAAAAACCTTCCACGAAAAGGCCGTGCGCGACCGGCCTCAAGCAGCTGTCCCTTGGGCTCTGCGGTAGTTAAGGCCAACACTAATCCAATTTCCTTTTCATGTTCCCCAAGAAATACCCTTCCACGGTGTGGGCAGCCGGGAAGTGACACCAGCCCTCATACCCGTAACAGCACACGAGACCAAGTTGGTCACATTCAATACTTCCTATACCTCCTAATAACTCTATCATCTCCACCGCTAGCCCTCCTCACGTCTCTTTATCACCTAGCACCGCTAGGGCAAACGATTCGAGTACGCGGAACGCTATTCCTGGTCTCCTGAAACCACGCTCTAAACTACACGTAGGAGCTCTTAACGTCCGAACACTGTGTCAAACAGGACAGCAGGCTTCCTTAGCTAGGACTTTAGAATCCCGCGCCGTTTCTTGCAAATACTAACTATAAACATAAGGAAAAACAAATTTTGGCATGGCAACCCCCGAATTCGCCTCAGCGTTGGACCTAAATAGTTCACATTGCTATCAGCCACCGATGGAGGAGCTCGATAGAAGACTGTCGCTCACTCTGGAGCACATGCTTAGATTCAGATCGTGCTCTAGTACGAGCGCGTATTCACCTGCGTCTTACTGGACGTAAGAAAGACACTGCAAGGAAACCTCTTGGGAGCCTACTTAATGATAGTCAAGCCAAGAGTATATTTCAGGAACAACTAGAAAAACAGTTAGGCAGTCATGTATGTGATACCCACCTTGAGGCAGCATGGAATGATATCCGGAAAGCAGTGGAAACAGCAGTGATGTCTGCTAGTAAAGTAAATCACAAGGTTAGGGAGAAACACTGTTTATACTTTTACTATCTCTACCATTTCGGGATTTGGATCGACAACTGTATCTCTGTGCTAATGTGGTATGGCAACCCGAAATGGTGTACGTACGTACGAAGTTCTACGTTGTTACTGACTGGCTGGCTGACGTATTTATGTGAATCTCGGGCAATAATTATCTTACATGTTGAATAAGTAAAAGTTTTGAGTAGGTTGAAGTAGAGAATCAAATTAGACCTAAGCCTTCTTTTTCAAAGTGGTTCCATTTCTAAAATTTGGCATCGGGAACTGTAGTCAGTGACCGGTTCAGTCTTAAGTATTTTGCGGATGAAATCCCGTTGTATTCCTTACACCTTTAGTATATCAGATAGGTGTAGGTTGAAACATAAGAACGAGCAGTATTCAGCGATAGGTCTTACACAAACTTTGTAAAGAAGGATTTTAGATTCATTTTGATAGAAATTACCGAGAATGAAGCCAAGCAATTTCCGCATTTTGGATGCTTTGGCTGAGATGTGTTCAGAGAAATTACGACTGTGTGAGTAATGTACCCCTAGGTCAGTTACTGATGCCAGTCTGGGCAGTGTGTGATTGCTAGGTGTTAGTTTCATTTTAAGAGACGTGTCTCCTATACATAACCAGCCGCATTTCTCTAT